TGTAGAAAATCTCGGAGTTCTGACTTATATAAAATATTTTTCGTACAGTTCTAAACATACTAAAACAATTTCTAAAGAGTTCCGGGCATTGGCAATGTTGTATAATTTTTAAATAAATTAATAACGCACGAAAGTCAGGAATTTATCGAGAATAGGGTCTTTCTCGCGATAAAAATTATTTAAAAAATGAATAAATAATGCTTATTGCCAGAATAAAATGGAACAATGTTAGAATACGTTCAGAACTACACGAGAATTATAACAGAACTCACAGAACTGTCAAAATACGGCCAGCGTTTCAGCTTATTCGATAAATTCCTGATTTTCGAGCGGTATTAATTTATTTAAAAATTATACAACGTAGCTAGTGTTTGCTAAAGTTAATAAACATATACATATAAGGAAACGAAAAAAATGAATAACGTTAAACTTTGCATGTTTTCTTCACTTTATTTAAAAAATTTATTTTTATTTTTTAAGTAACAAAAATGCTCTTTTTTTACCTTATAATTAATTTTTTTGCTTTTATATGGCAGAACTCTTTATAGAACTGTTAAAGAACTATAGATCTTGCAAAATCTGATGAGATACAGTGGTGGAACTTGTGTAGGACAAAGTGAGACGCTGCGTAAACCTATAATAGCGTCTCAGTTTGTACTGACGCGTTTTTATGGCTTTAATGGCCAAAACTATTTGTTTAAACTATCAAGAACTCTAGAACTATTGAAAAGGAAGCCAGAACTCTCAATAATTTGTGAGTTTCTGCAAAATGAGACGATAGCTTCACACACACGTCAGGAAGAGAATGTAAAGAATTATTAACGGAGATATTCTAATTTAAAAGATCTTTAAAATATATTTTTTTCATGAATGTTTTATAGGAAAACGAAGAAAGTGAATAACGTTAAACTTTGCATGTTTTCTTCACTTTATTTAAAAAATTTATTTTTATTTTTTAAGTAACAAAAATGCTCTTTTTTCTGTTATATCCTGGTCACTATAAATGACAGACGATGTAAATAATTTTAGCTGTTTTAGGTATCTGAAACGCAAAAAGCTAAAATTTTCTTATTCTGCAGGAGAAGTGTGGCTATCGTCTGAACTAGAACTAAATCAATATTTCCATTCTAAGCGGCTTTTTTATTAAAAATATAACTTTTTTAAAAATTTTATTAGTATTTTATTAAAAGAAAATGTTTATTCTAGTTCAGACGATAACCATATCACTTATTTTGAATAAGAAAATTTTTGGTTTTTACGTTTCTGATACCTAAAACAGCTAGAATCATTTACTTCGTTTCTCATACTTACGTCTTTTAGTGATCAAGATATAACATAAAAGTAACAAAAAAAAAGAATATTTTTCTTACTTAAAAAATAAAAATAGATTTTTAAAGTAAGATTAAAAAAACATGCAAAGTTCAACGTTATTCGCTTTCTTCGTTCCCCTATAAAAAATTTCTGAAAAATACCTATTTTTAAAGACCTTCTCCGGCTCCAGTCATACTCAAATTATATTCATGCTTAAACAAAAATCTTGACTGTATTTGGCATCACACTTGTGAAAATTAAGCGTGTAAAAAATCTGCAAAAAAATATAAACGTGCAAAAAACTATTGTCGATAACATCACACATACACACACAGAAGAAAATGTAGATAATTGATTTCTTTATTATTATTACAATAATTTGAATATTGAAATTATTTTATACCATATGCTTTCTAATACTTATATGTATATAATTAATAACAATATATTAATAACAAATAATAAATTAAGAGCGTATTCTGGTTTGAAAGGTCTTAAAAATAAGTATTTTTCATACATAGGAATTTTTTATAGAATAACGTTAAACTTTGCATGTTTTTTAACCTTATTTTAAGAATATATTTTTATTTTTTAAGTAAGAAAAATGCTCTTCTTTTCTATGTTATATCCTGATCACTAGAAGGTGTAAATGACAGACAGAGTAAATGATTCTAGCTGTTCTATAGGTATCAGAAACCCAAAAACAAAAAATTTTCTTATTCAGATTAAGTGTGGCTATTGTCTGAACTAGAATAAACATATATTATACGTTTATTAGTTTTTTTCTTTTAATAAAATATTAACAAAATTTTGAAAAAAGTTATAATATTTTTAATAATATAAAAGAAATAAGACCGTTTTATGTGACCGTTATACAATCAATCAATATTAAATAAGCCGTGTACAATCCGAGTTTGGATCTTAATAGCCTAATAATATTTTTTGTGAATTACACGTATATTTTTTTCAATCTTAATAAATTGCGCGCCGACTAACTTGTCAGACTTACAACACAGCTCCTGTTGGAGTAGTAAAAATTCTTTACTATTATTTAAATCGATTTAATTAGAGGGGTGTGAGGGGATTTTATTAATCCAATAGGAGCTGTGTTGTAAGTCTGACAAGTTAGTCGGCGCGTAGTTGATTAAAGTTGGAAAAATATGTAAATATATAGTATATAAAAAATATTAGGCTATTATAAAATCTAAGCTCAGATCGTAAATGGTTTATTTAATATTGATTAATAATATTTTTGATAAAAAGGCCGCCTAGAGAGAGAACCTAGAATGGAAATATTGGTTTAGTTCTAGTTCAGACGATAGCCACATATACTTCTTCTGAATAAGAAAATTTTAGCTTTTTGCGTTTCAGATACCTAGAACAGCTAGAATTATTTACACCGTCTGTCATTTATGGTAACCAGGATATAACAAAAAAGAAGAGCATTTTTGTTACTTAAAAAATAAAAATAAATTTTTAAAATAAGGTGAAGAAAACATGCAAAGTTTAACGTTATTCACTTTCTTCGTTTCCCTATAAAAAGTTCCTGAAAAATATATATTTTAAAGATCTTTTAAATCAGAATACCTCCGTTAATAAATAATTCTTTACATTCTTTTCCTGACGGAAGAGATTTTACCACTTCTCAATATAAATATAAATTTATCTCTTGTTATGGTTTTATTCGATTATTCCGGCGTTTTTATATTTGTGATTTAATTAGATTATTGTTTACTTTGTTTATATTATATTAGGTGATTGTTTAATGTTTTAGTTTAGACTAATATTTAATGTTTTAGTATGTAAACTTGAACATTAATTATCATGTTTTTTTATATTTATCTTCTTCTATCGTATAGTAATCCGTTCCAAAGAAGACTAAGTACAGTCGAAACGTTAACCATGTGTATTGTTTATTTAAGAAATTGTTTTTATTTTAATCCAATATCTCTCTGTTGTTGCTCGTGGCCGCTTATAAACATTAATAGCTAATATAAATTTAATAAGAGTAAAAAGAACATTATAAACTACTTTTTTTCGATATAGTTAATATGTAATTATTGTTATGCATTTAAATATTAAATTTAAATACTATTATGCTAAAGTAAAGGTTTTTAAAGTAAGACTTTTTTTTATATAAGGGCATATTGGCCAGAACGGGGATTTCTATACATTACATTTACGAATTTTAGTTTTTATGTTTATAAATATTTTTTTAATTAATTATATTTGCAATCTTTGTATTTATACATTTCAAATATATATATATATATAATATTTATTTATTTATTTATTTATTTATTTATAAATATAAAAATTAAAATTTGTATAATAAATATAAACGTAAATGTAACGTACAGCGCATCGTCGATTTGCCAACTCGAGACTCGGCGAGACGCGAGGAGCGATACCCGAAATGCATGGCATCGTGGCATAGCCAGCGTGTGCTAAGCAGCTACGTCACACGTCACAGCTCAAGCCAGCTCAAGCGAGAAAGAGACAGCAGATCGTATGTCTGCCTTTCTCTCCCCGCTCGAAGCTTGCCGAGTGCCGAGTCAGCCGACTGGCATATCCCCTCCATCTGAGTAGTTCGGACACAAACCATAGCACGGACACGAACCATGTGTGTACCGTTACCGAGCGTAACGACGTAGTTGACGTCCACTTTCTCAGGCGGCGCGTCAGTATACGTCCGCTGGAACGGAATGATCCCGGTGGCCGCTCTCAGGTTTCTCTCTGGTGCTATCCTTGTCTATATCTTTGTCTATACAAGGACAGATATAGTTCGCCGGTCTTCTTTACCGACGCCGATCGAGTTCGGCTACGGCTCCAGCATCCCCTTAAGCGTGAGCGGAAGGGCGAAGTCCCCCCTGCACCCCCCTCCCCCATGCATGTGCTTTATAAGTTATAAAGCGAGATTCACGTGCATGGGGATAAAACGTAACAGTAAGGTAAGTTTTCGACCAATCGCGTTGCTCGATTCGGCCGTCCGTAAAAATTTCTAATTAGCTGATCCAGTGAAAAAACTCCAGGCACCGGGGGCTGTGAGTGGCTGTGATTAATCGTAACCTGGTCAAACGGGACGCTCTCCCGTGTATGCAATACGGCCGTGTGTGCAATGCGCTGTGAGCAATACGGTCGTGTGTGCAATGCGCTGTGTGCAATATGATCGTGTAGACAAAGCGACATGTGCACAATAATGCCTGTAGTAGGCAATCGTTCTGTACGTGTGCAAATGGGAATGTATGCAATCGGGATTGTGTGCAATACGGTGTGTGCAAACGAAGCTGTAGGAGGCAATCGTTTTGTAGGCAAACGGGACCTTTCCGGGTAAAATGCACGTGAAAATAATGTATTATTCGTAGTAATAGTAATCTTGATATCATTGTAAAATTGTTAGGATTAGATGCATGAGATGATAATGTTAATATTATTCTATTAATATTAATAATAATAATATTGATATTATTGTAAAATCATAGATTTAGTAGAACGCATGTTAATGATAAATTAATTAATGTTAGGTAATATTAGTATTGTCATTATAGTAAAAATATAAGATACTTTAGAAAGAATTTAAAGGAATGTGGAAATAACTAACATATAATTTGATAAATTTGTTTATTGAGCGATCAATTCATAGTCTGGACCGGCACACGACGCTCTCAGATAATCACGCGATTTTCCGAATAGTTTCACGTGATGGTCTCGCGTATCCACGTGAACCCCGTAGTCCCTTACCCCGGGACGTCACCAAACGAGTATGTATATATACAGGCCCTGTGAATCGGGCATTCGCATTCTCTTCTATTCTATTTCCAAATAAGTTACGCGAGATTGATGTATTGAGAGCACCGCGAGCCGAGAAGGACATCCGTGAGCCGAGAAGAACTTAGCCGCGAGCCGTGAAAGACTTAGCCGCGAGCGAATTTGATTCAGAGGGTGGTGCCTCTTAGTTTCACGCGTCATTCATCTTACTGACGGAGTACGATTCTGTAATATAAGGAAAAAAAGTGAATAGTTTCGTTTTACCTTTTATGATTTTCTACCTGCGGGTCGATTCTGTATCTTGGGACAAGGTAAAAATTACAAAAGTGAAAAAATTCACTAGAGAATCTACAATTTTATTTGTCAAAATCTAGTAAATCTGTTCATTTTTGTAATTTTCACCTCGTCTCAAAATACAGAATCGACCTCCTGATACCTACTTGTCGATGCGCGCCTCTCTCAGGGCGTTCTTGACAAGTCCTCACGTAGATGCGCGCCTTCCGCAAGGCGTTCTCTAATCACCGCTGTTCTTTCCTCGTTCCTAAAAATATTGAATAAAAATAGATTGTTGAACACCAATTATTTGCTTATTAGCTGCATGATATCCGTTAAGGCCCTTGTATGCGCTCTATTCCAAAAAGGAAAATCGAAGCAGCTTATATTGAAAAGGATCCGGAAGTATAACAAACCGCAACAAGGTAAGTGAATAGTGTCACCAATGGTACGATCGAGACGGTCGGGACGTGCCCAGCAATTAAAACGGCTACGGCGCGCGGGCCTATTATGTTGGCGGTGAATTTGATCCGAATGTATTAAATCCCGTTGTATCACAAGCATCGCACTCCGAGCCCCTCGCCTCCGTTTCGGACATGCCAAATCCGTCTCAATCGGCTCCTGCCGTTGAAGAGCGACCGAAACCTAGAATTACAAAAACAGTACTTCTAACTCAGAAAATCCGCATAATTCTCAGAAAGTGCAGTGTTACTTAAGTATCAAAGGAAAATAAATCATAAGTCTTCTACTTACCATCGTTTGCCTTTATGTATTTCACAAGTTAAATATCGCGAATGAATTAAATGCTTCACCATTTCACTTCACGTAACCCACTCCGACGTCCCGAACGATCTCAGGACGTAACAACCCGTTCATTTTATAAATTCAAAAATAACAATTTTTGAGTTATATGTTGTTGTAGCAAATAAACGATATATCAATATCAAGAGATACGAAGCAATATATTAATATCAAGAGATACCAGAGTGTTTCGCGCCAAGTACACGCGATAGTTACTTCGCGATACAGGCAGCGACATATAAATAAGGATATCTATATACCTAAAGTATCGAGTTGAAAGAAGACACGATGGTCATATCTATAAAACGGCTAAGCGGAATTAAAATTTTAATAGGCTCAATTGCTTGTGCACGATTACTTGTATGGTTATATTTATAGAGTCCTAGATTAGTAGAGAAATGCGAACTTGTTTTTCCTTCTGATTGGTCAGTTATAGACCAATAGACAGCAGAGCGTACGAGCATAAAATGGCTGCGGTGGCAAAGTGGGGGTAGAGTTCGCGTCTAATTCGTATGGGTCTTACGGATGTATAGATCTAAGGTAGTGGCGACGACAAGATGGGGGTACAGTCCTAATAAATTTTATATCACACGTGCGTGGAAAGTGGCCTATTACGCGCGCGCCATCTGTGTGACAAATAGCCAATTCCATACACGAGTCAAAACAGTGCGGTAATGTAACATTATATAACACGTGCGTGGAAAGTGGCCCGTTACGCACGCGCCATCTGTGCGACAAATAGCCAATTCCACACCGAGAAATCCTCCGCTCGAACATTACCGCACCGTTTCGAGCGGAAAATCTCTTGTGTGTGGAATCGGCCATCCGTCGCACTGAGGGCGCGCACGCAATGGGCCACTTTCCACGCACTTTGTAATATAAAATAGGGTGTGTAACACGTGCGGGTTGAGAATTGGACACGCGTGCGGGTGATCGCTCTCGCTTTCGGCTCGTGCGTCCACTCCGCACCCGTGTCCAATTCTCAACTTCTCGCACTTGTTATACAAATAACTATTAATCTCTACTAATCTAGGACTCTAATATTATATAGTGTCTCAAAAGTGTCTTTATTTTTTTTCTACACTAAATATTAAGCTCCTAGGTACTCGCCGCGGCCATATTAGGTCGTGACGTCAGAGGCAAGAAATAACACGCTGAAAATTTTTGCGTGCGTCATTTCCTTTCTAAAGTCTTGTGTCCACGATGCTCAGAAGTCGCTCTGAGATCTCGGACGGGAAAAGAATTAACCAATCGCATTGGTCAATTGCCGAATTATTTAAATATAATTAATCAATTTTTTCTCGGTCCGAAATCTCCTTAGTCTAGTGGAAAAATTTCGCTGAAAATTTTGTTAAAATATCACTGAAAATTTTCTGAAATTGTTACACGTTTTGGAACACTTCTCAGTGAAATTTCAGCCTAATTTCAACGAAATTTCAGTATAATTTCATCAAAATTTCAGCATAATTTTAACATAATTTCGGGATAATTTCAACAAAATTTAATGAAATTTGAAAACAAAATTGCATGTTTTTTTTACGAATATTTTCATAAAAATTTATGTAAATTCGAAGAAAATATTCATAGAAACATGCAATTTTGTTTCCAAATTCAATTAAATTTTGTTGAAACTATACAAGAACTGCAGATGTTATTAATTATTTAATAATAATTGGACAATAAATTAAATAATTAATTCAATACAATTAATATCTTAATTTATTAAAATCAATTTTATTGTATATAATAAGTACAAAATTATCGTTTTCAAAAAAGGTGCCAAGTATACGCAATGTATTTTATAAATCCAAAAATCCAACCTAAGTAGCTTTATTTCTCCTTAACAAAATTATATCACAAAATTACGTTACCTAACTCAACCTAAGTGATATGTATAAATCCACAAATTTAACCTAAATGATAGTAGCTTTAATTTCTCTTTAACAGAATTAATATATCACAAAATTGCGTTATTTAACTCGACGCAAATGATATGTATTTCAAAAAAATATATAAAATTTTTAAATTGCACCAATTACGAAAAGAATATTGCTTTGAAAAATAATTGTTGTGCAACTATTTTTAAAAAATGAAACCCAAGTGGTACATATTTTTGTGTTCCCATTTAAGGGTCTTCCTATTCCAACCCAAGCGGTAATAGCTTTAATTCTTCTTAACAAAATTATAATATTACAAACAATCATTTTAAACACATAGTTACAATTTATTTACTACTACAACATACATATTTTTTATTTGCAAAAATAATGTTAATAAAAAATATTTATTTGTTTAAAAAATTTTGTAAATAAATAATTTTTTTAAATTGCTATAACAATGCACAAAAATGGTTATAGCACTGATAACAATCAAAATGATATAGTAATTAAACGCGTATACATTCCATAATTAAGCTTTTGAATAATTCATTCCTTTGACTAATCACAGTTATCTCACATCTTGACAATCTCAGTTATCACAAATATCTCGAAAACTATAAATTTTAAGAAAAAAATGATAAAATATGTTTTGTAGATCTCGATCAGCTCTACAACTTTGATCTCTTGAGTTTTTTCGATATTCCTCATAGTTTTTGAGAAAAACCCATTTGTTTCACGTGTATTTTGTTTAAAAAAACATAAAACGGCAAAGGCAATTTTGGATATGTTATTCAGTATATTTTTCTGAAAATTTTAAGCCTGAAAACGTGCGTGGTGCAATTTTTTCCGGGTCAAATCGTATCTCGCCAGTCGCCTGTACTAGTTTCTTTTGTAAAATTTAACATTTCAGACTTTACGTCGCAATATCTCCGCTCGTAGAGCACATAACGGAAAAATAAAAACACTTTTATTACATAATTCGAACCCAATTAGCTATCGATCAAGCCTACTTAGAATTTGATCCGTTCACTCGTTATTGAGATATCAAAATCTCAGGTACTTGCAACTTGTCCATTCGCGTAAAGATACACGACGGTCTCGTGCTGCGCGTGTACTTGGCGCGGGATACTACCGTGTCTCCTTAATAGAAAGTAAAAGTAACAATATAAAATCATAGAATGACCCTCGAGAATTAAAAATAAGAGAGAAAAAAGGCAATTAGGGTCGGACGCGGTTCTTCGTGCGTGTCGAGTTCTGGCGTTGTCATTGGTACTCCGGATCCGATATCACAACAATATATTATCTTATTGACACAACTATCTATGTAAAACGTTACCGGTTTGACTTGTTGACACGCTTCTTCCTTTTAAAATTTTTGTCATTTCATTGCTGTTGTAATGTGTGGATGGGACGAAGAAGTCCCTCGCTATTTTTATGTTATACGGCTTCATGCCCCACTTTCACTTTGACTTTTTGGTGAGTCTATAAAGCTTTTCGTTCTTATTTCATCTCATTATTCTTAAAAAATTACAGATAAGGATCATTTGGTCCACGTTAATTCGAGTCTGTAAGCTCGCCAGTTGACATGGAGAACGTGCGGCAAATCGTTTTGTTAATGCTGAGGATGACTCAAAAATGAGTCGAAACGTTCATATCAATGTACTTCAAGAAGACGAATAAACTGATTCCACGCACGAAGAACCGCGTCCGACCCTAATTGCCTTTTTTCTCTCTTATTTGTAAAAGTAACAGTTTGTAGTTGAATAACCTTTTTTATCTTTAGAAAAATCTTGAATATAAAAAATCCTATTTTTAATATCTTACAATAATTTTTGTAACACCTTTTTATAAAAACATCAACATATTAATGCTACAAAATAAATGTTAAATATTATTGGGATGTACAAATGTAAACATAATCTCATTATTCTTCAAACATGTTTAAATTTTTTTTTTCCATAAAAAGTAATTGCTGAAAGATCACTTTCCGCGTATTTTTAGCAATTATGCAACACTTTAAGCAAAATGTCAGAAAAAGTTCAACACGTTTTCAGAGAAATATCACCAAGTTTTCAAAAAAAATTTCGGAGAAATTTCAATTTAATTTCACACAATTTTTAGCGAATATTCAGCAATTTGGCCGAAAATCTTTTTTCAGCGAAATTTTAGAGAAATTGTAGAGAAATATCAGTAAATTTTCAGAGAACTTTTTGGAGAAATTGTAACGAATTTTCAAACAATTTTCAGCAATTTGGCTGAAAATAATTTTGTAGCGAAATTTCAGAGCAGCCTATTTTCAGAGAAATTTTCAGACAAAACGAAGAAATTTTAGTTTAATTTCAACGACTTTTTAGTACTTTTGCTGAAAAAATCCCTTTCAGAGGAATTGCAGTAAAATTTCAGCGTCTTTTCAACAATTTTGCTGAAATATTACTTTCATCATCCGCGAAATTTCAGTAAAATTTTTCCACCAGGGCTCGAAGCGATTTCTAGTATCGTGGACACATTAAGCTTTAAAAAGAGTATGTTAAATCGATACTCGAGTGTATCGAAGTCCTCCCGAAAATCTTGAAGTGTATTGTTGGCTCCATAGTGGAAGGAAAACAAGATGTGCTCTTGCGCATCCTTGATCCAATAACCAATGAGTGCGTTGGGCCAAGCGGGAGACATTGATGATATTGGCCAATAAAAGGCCACATATATAAAGAATATCTATTATTTTCAATATAGTTCTCGCTTGGCCCAGGTCGCGACGTCTGCGCGTCTCTCTATCCCCATACAGCACATGTAGATACTGAGAAACTAAATGATTTTAGTTTTGCACACGTCGATAACCGTATCCAAATTCGTTGCTCTAAACCTCATGCAGATAAGGTCCTCTAGTAAAACACATCCCTGTCTGCCTTTGCCAGCAATTTCGGAATCTGCAAGTCGGGAAAATCACATTTTCAACATCCATGCGTGATAATTGCATTTTCCTTCAAAATTCTAAGGTCTGCTTAATAACGAACATTGTAAATGGAAAGAAATATTTTCTTTATTGT